ACTTTAGATTAGTTGTTAGGATTGTTACTGTTATAAAATAATCGCTTTCCATTTTTGACTGATCGAATTAAAAAATTCCGCCTTTACTTATGAGTTGGAGAATGCTATTACTTTTTTCACCGAAAACTATATAGGTGCCGATATTTCATCAAGGTTTCGTTGTTCCCCTTTCGGTAGTTCCCAATACTTTTGTTTTTTTTTCAGATTTTCCTTACGCTGCTGTCATAGGCGGGTCAATAGGGGGCGGAATATTGCTCATACTTTTAATTATATTGTTGATATTTTGTATACGGAGGTCAAATAAAAAAAAAGAGAAGGAAGATGAGCGAATAGCTCAAGAAGCACAGGTTGGGATGTTGAAAACTTCGTCTATTATATATTTTGTATAACACGCTAGCAAATAGATTATTAGTTTTTATCCACTGACTCATTGAATTCATTCATTAAATTGACCGATTCCTCCTATATAATTCACTGTAAAAGAACAGAACAATTTCATGGAATAATAACAAAGCAGTACGATATCCGCACGGCAAGAAAATACTTTTGCTGTCCAGTAGCAGACGTGTATTGTTCATAAATTGCGGTGGAAAGCGATTTATTTCCAAGAAACCCGAGAGATTATCAAATTGATCCATTGGTCCATTTCGTGTCCAATATTTAATATCTATCTCCTTATCGATGAAAACTTGAACCAAGCAATGTTTATGCAGGAAAGTTTGGCACGGAAAGAAGAAAACAGGCGAAAAGCATTGGAAGAAGAAGAAGAGCCAGTAACAGTGAGGGCAATCGCTCCAGTGAATGCTGCATACATCGGTATCTAATTATATTATTCAAATTAATATTTTACTAACAAACTTGCTAATAAACCAGCTATTAGAAGAGATTTCGCACTGATATAGAATATCTAAATTTATAAAAAAAAAAATACAAGTTGATTTTCTCAATTCTCAAATCTACCAGCAACGACATCTAATCTTATTTAATGTACATTTTAATACTTATTCATTTTTTATTCAGGTGACCAAGGATATAGTTCAAACAGCGATACATCAAAACCGGAAGATGAAACCTCTTCTGAAGATGATTCTGAATCATCTAAAGGCAGCGTAGGACCACCAAGCGGCGAAACCTTCTCGCTGGCGTCTTCTATGATTCGCTCAGAAAGAGGTTCTCCGGTGATGATGTACAGTGACTTGGACGCAAGAAGCACATATTCAGAACAAAGTTATAATCAGAATACCTTACCAATGACTACATCATCAATTCCAATATATTACACTCGGGACAACCAAATGAGTATGTTAACGGACGTTTGAAATTGTGTAATGAAAATATTGGCATGAATTGAAAAAGTATATCCAAGCTGATGCGAAATCTAGCAACTACAAACCTGTATTATATTTATGGGAGTTGAAGGGAAAGAATGTTCATTGGATGGACAATTCGGTCATACATACAGAAAAAGAAAGCGTCATGGGATATATTTTATCAAAGTAGCTATTGATACAGCTTCATGTGCCAAATATTCATTTTCTCTCTCCCAAAAACGCTGAATTCTTCACGATATATATATGCTTGTATATAAGGTGCGTTTCGTGACTTACAGTCACATTATTACAGAAACATTTTATTTCAAACATTTGTTTATTCTATTGGCCCTAATACGATTTTGAAGCATACCTCATTCACACTGAAATCTCAGCAATATAATAAACTCGACTCATGGATTGGTACAATATGCAATTTATCAATGTACATGTATTAGTTTCGAATTCCATTGGGGTTCATGACACAAATTTTTATTTAGTATTTTATATAAAAAAAAAATCGTCATTATAAATTTTCCCTCTCATTGTATGTATATATGTTTGTCTCGATCATATGTGTGTGTTTATATGAGTACGCAATTTGTAGAATCGACGAGGTTCAAAGTTGAGGTAACAAAGCTCTAATTTTTTCGAGTGAGATTATGAGCATGAGATATTTGTTTTCATGTAGACTCATGGGAATAATGTTATATAGTCATAGTGTATATATATATATATAGTATATTTTGACAAAATTCAGTTTCTGCAAAACTACATTCTCGTAAAAACCTCGAACCTGCTCATATTTTCCTATGCAACAGTGCTCGTCAACCTTTTTTGGAGTGGTACACCCTTTGAACCCTTTCTCAAAATCTGGTACACCCCGCTCATCCTACGTAAATAATGTTTAGAATTTATATATGTTCATATCGAAGCAATAGTTCATTATTTAGTTAATGCAGTAATGTAAACGTTGCTCTTGGCTTCCATCATCCAGTCGTGCAGAGCGAGGTTATAATCTTGTTTTCAGTCCCACTCTCATTAGTGGATTAGTGTCGGGGGTTAAATTTCAATGATTCCAGAAAACCCTTGTTTGTGAAGGAATGACATTCGTAAGAAATTCATTCATTTTGTGCAAGCGATTGCGATACTCGGGAACTTGTAGTAGTTCTGCCCAAATCGTTGTATATTTTTTTTTATCTTTCGAACTCTACATTTTTTTACCGGATCTGATCGTAATTCAAGCAGTTCGCCAGTGAGATGGACAGGAGCAACTTCTGCACTTGCGAATGGCTGAATGGCCCATATCAGAGAATCAAGATGGTGATATTCAACAACCGTAAAACTGGCTCCTAATTTGAGCTGTAGCGCATCAAGATGCTTTTGTACAATTGACCTCAACTTGGTTTCCGTGTTTGGGATTCCGATTTCCCATTCACAAGTCTCAATCAGATAGCCAAGACATTCAAAATCGGAAAAATGTCAATTTCTTACATTATTCTGCTATAACTTCAATTTCATTTCAAAAGCCGGAATCTTGCTACTAGCTTTAAAAATATAACATTCTTTCCCTTGCATCAATAAATTTAGGTGATTTGGGAATTCAAATATTGCTGTTAGATAGGGCAATTTGCAAGTCAAAAGATATCTTGAAAACTAACAGCCATTGAATCAAACTAGCAACCAGTGAAAAACAGTCATATCTTTCCGCAGCTGAGAAAACTCATTTTAAAACTTTTCCTCTCGATAACCAGCGCACTTCGGCGTAATACAATAGCCACAACTCATTTGCTTTCATGTCTTTGCAAATTTATGTGAATATTATGAAAATGAGACCGAACAAAATTAATCACCTTTATGATATCACCGAGGGCAATATCCAAATCATTTTTCTCACCCTTTTCGTAGTTTAGTTGTTTCACATCTTCCGACAAGAGCCTTTCAATATATGTATCGCTAACAAGGTATCAAACTGCTACAAAAAGATATTATTACGCTATACTTAAAACAAGCAGATTACAAAAAATCGGAAAATGGGGTACATATGCCCCGGGCGCCAAGGTACAAGGACGCCAAAATGGGGCTTGCAAAAATTTCACAACGAGGGTATAAAAACGGTCACAGGCAAGATCGCACCGGCGGCAGACATCTAGTCTTAGTACACGGCAAACTGCACACTTGATCAGACCACTTACGTCGAATGCCGACGTCATCAGGCACATAGCTCGCGCACGGTCAGATTTCTATCGTAATTACACGGCCAAAAAATCTGGCCGGGAAACAAAGCAAAAATTGATTTGGTAACGTTAGGTAACAAAATGCACCGGGTTAATTACGTGGTTCTGTATCGTTGAGTTCTTGCACGCGCGCTCCGATGTAACTTGATATTAGTTCTGTGCTGGAGACAAAAGGCAACGGCGAAGTGCTGATAATACATGTTTTGAGTAATACGTGGTTTTGTATTTCGTGGTTGTCAAAGTACTGTACTTTGCGGCAGAGTTACATAAAGGTGACCGTATTATACTGTGTCAAAAGACCCCAATGCCGTTTTCGACAATTCGTCGAGATTGCACGGATTTTGCAAATTTCTACGACACGGACATCAATGGCCACGAACTTTTCACCGAAATTGGAGATTGCAGAATGCTGCTCAGTAACAGAACTGAAGGTCAACCAGAAACTCCTTTGGGTCTTTTTGGTTTTATTGTGTTTTTTGGAGACGACGTTTTACCCAATCTGCGAATTTCTCTACAAATTTTGTTAACAATACCAGTTTCAATTGCAAGCTGTGATCGAACGATCTTTCAGCAAATTGAAACTTATTTTGTCGTATTCGATGGCATCAATGGGACAGGATCGTCTCAGTGATCTTGCACTTCTAAGTGTTGAAAGAGAAACATTGAAAAAAAAAACAGATTTTGATGACGTGTTAACCAGTTTTCGACAGTGAAATCAAGAAAAATAAATTTATTGTAGACTATGTAAATCATCTTTGACAGTAACTAAGTGGGACATTATGCTCAAATGCTATATTTTGTATAGCTTTGCTTCTTCTTTAAATAAAATGTTTCATTAAAATTTGAATACACATATACATATATTTTTGAATAAATAATAAAATATATAAATTTGAATTTACATATATAATTTGTTTTTACATATACAATTAAATGTAATAGAAAATGTGAATAAACGTGGAGGTCGGGGCGCCAATTTTATAGTTTGCTCCAGGCGCAAAATATGCTGGCTACGCCTCTGCATAAATGGAAGGAATCATGACAAGTGAGATTTGCAAGTGCCCGAGATACTAATTCAAATTAATCGGGAAGAATTTGAATTACATTTAAGATTTCGGTACTAATTAATAAAATAAATTCTAACACATCCAGGATTAATGAAGCTAGAAATGTTTTGTTTTTCGCCAGAGATGACTGCGCTATGTGCGCTGGTCAATTGTGGGATAAGTGTGTTGTTATCCAGTAATGCTTGAATAGTTAGAGAGTTCCACATGAAGGAGTTATTATATTTTATAGTAAGCAGTAAGCACCATTACCCAAGCGTCGCTTTTGGATAGAAAGGTTCTATAATTACGTTTTATGCCTAGGAATATAAGTTTGTTGTGCCAAGCTGTATCTATTGTCTGTAATATATGTATATAATTCTATACAAACTATGATAGCTACCTAATGATTGAATTATTTTTAACAATATATCAGAGTAAACTAATGAAGTTGGACTTATTACGGCTCGGAGGCGTGGCAGTGTTATTGACATGCAGTTTTGGAATTATAGTTTTATGGGTAAGAGAAGTTTTATTTTGACTATTCTACGTGTCTTAATATATCCATGTAAATTTACACCACATCTTGTACAGGTTTATACAGATTTAGTGAAGTATGGACGGGAATGGATCCGGTTCAGGCCCGGTCGGCTGCTATTGAGAAATACGCTAGTCACTGAAGATAAGAATATTTCAGATCCAATCAATACTTCCCTTCCAAGTTTACCTGCTTCCGCATTGCCAATTTTACAAAATGAAGTTCAATCAAAATACATGATGCCTACGAAAGACTACTTGACGAGTCTGAGATTTATTAAAAATCAAGCCATGACACATGTTGACTGTGACGCTATAATGAGGGGCGATAAGACAGCAATAAAAGTTGCTGGAACCGAAAGAGAAATACTTTATTCTGAGGTTAATATGTTTTGAAAATTTTGTATTGTTGGTAAATTGAATTATTTTGAAATTTGTTAGTTAAAAATACATTTCTAGTGTAAATGATATAAAATGAGGCAAATAGGAAAATGAATTTAAGTTCATAATTTATTTTATCAGAAAAATGGCACACGGAAAAATATGCTGTTGAATTCAGATCAAACGGTTGCTAGTCGGGCGGACAATTGTACTTTATATGTGAAATCACGAAAGTATATAACATCTCCACTGACGTTAGAAGAAGCGGAATATCCAATTGCATACATCATCAGCATTTATAAGTAAGTTTGAGAAATAAAAAAACTTTTTCGTTACACTACAACAAATAATATTCGTATGGTGTTTTGGATTATTCAAAACGGTTTCCACATGATTTAATTAAAAATGTTACTGCAACCAATCGTAATTATATTGACATAAATTGCAATTCAGATATGTATTAACTGCTTTGTATGTATACCCTACTGCCTTGTAGAAAAGTTTTACATTTTTGGCAACAGCATATGCTTAAAATGTAATTTCTGTATTTATTTCCTCAAAGATGATAACAGCTAGATTAAATATTCATGGCAGATATTTAGTTCGTTATAATTGTTTTTAAATTATCAATTATCTGCAGTACCAGTGCAATGAAATATGTAATGTCTGATGATGTATTACTTGCAGAAATATTCAATCATTTGAACATTTGTTGCGGACAATTTACCAGCCTCAAAATATTTATTGTATTCATATTGATCAAAAAGCATTGGCTGAGTTTCAAACTCGAGTCATGAAAATTATAAGATGTTTTAACAACGTGTTCTTGGCGCAACACATGACGAGAATTTGGTACGGTCACTGGACAATTGTACAAGCTAGTCTTTACTGCATGGAAGATCTTATCAAACGGTAATTTTATTTGAAGTGAACATTCAAGTGCCACCAATGTCTATGTAATGAAGTATCTCACTGTATCGTTAGGTCAGTTTTTCAATCATCAGCCCTGGACAAGTCTATGGATAAGTGGTTATGGGTGGGAAATATATCATTCTAGGGAACCAGGAATCATTCTGGTTTGACTGAGTCGAGCGGATGTATTGCGTACTCGGCGAGGTTAGTGCAAGGTAGTAATCCCGAGAAGTTTAACCTGTCACGCAGACATTATTGAATTTCAAGCACAAAACTATTCGGTTTAAATTTTTACAAATGGCGATATAAAAAATGACGTGTTGGTTTTTGGAGGGAAAAATTCATATACGCGGTGGCGTTCATAACGGCCATACCGTTTTATAGCTATGTAGCCATTGCAAGCAATCTATTGTTCAGTTCAAGAAATTTTCTCATATCTATGCGTAGCGTGTGTATTAGTGGCTGAATCAAGAGAGCTTGTTTGAAACGCTGCGCTGCATAAGGATCATAAGACTACCAGAACGGTACTATGAAAGTCGAAAAAAACAGTTATCATCTCATCACTTGGTATTTATGAGTGACCCAATAAACATTTGCTTAAGCTATTTTTGTCTTGAAATTATCATTTAGATAGTTTCAACACACTGCTTTTTTATTTTTAATGATTTGATTTTTTCAAATACCTAATCCGGTTGTGAGTGGCTAACCCTAAGAATTTTTTCAGGAAAAACGATTATCGGTGGCATTACGTAATCAATACATGCGGACAAGATTACCCAACAAAAACTAATCTTGAAATTATCCGAGCGTTGAAAACTTTAGATGGATTAAATAGTGTACCATCGCGTACCATTAAGATCACAGAGGAAAAATACAGAAGGTTGATCAAAAGTATTCATTTGCATATTTATATATATAAATATACTATTTCCGAAATTGTAGCTTAAAATGAATATATTAAGTTTGAACTTGAATCAATTCATATCGAACCATTTTGGTAACTATTTACGTATTGAGCGAAAAAGAAACCTACGTTGTTTGATAGACCGATTTACCCAAAACATGTTGACGCGAAGGAAATTATATTTAAGTTAATCAAATTAAAACCACAGATTTCAGTTTGTGTACAATCATTCAATGAATATTGATATCGACCATGGAGGATTATATAAAACAGATGTTAAAAAGGAACCTCCGCCTCACAACATTCAACCGTTTACTGGAAAAGATTATTTTGTATTCAAAAGAGAAGCTGTTGAATTTTTATTAACAGGTAATATTTATTTTTGAAATGTTTAAGACAACATCATTCCGCTGCTGTAAGCCTTGATTTGAAATGGTGTTTCACTTCAGATTGAAGATACCAAGCCCAAATCTTCTCCATTAACACGTTGGGTTACTTTTAGTCTTCAGTGCTAGGTTTCAGCAAAAATAAATTTTTCAGTTCTATGATAATGTCTTTTTGCAACAAAAAAGTCCATATAACGGTGTCTCCCACCCGCCATCATTTCATGTATGTAATAAATGCTCATTAACTGTTTGGGTAAACTTATCGGTCGGTTTTACATATCCCATAACCGCATTCATGTATGCTGCTCTACTCAACACTAACACAGAAATGGTCTCCTAGAAACAAAATTGATGAAGAAAAATATATCGATACATAAAAAAATTTCTGCATTTTTCACATCTCCCTCCTGTTAACCTCTTATACCTCCACTGTGTCGGAATGCGACAGAGGCCCAATAATGGTGCTCATGTGAAGGTTGTGAACGTTTTGAAAATTTAAAATAGTTGAATTTGCAATCTTTTATGTCGCGTTGAAAATAAATCGATGGTTGTTTAGATCAAAGAGTTTTGGATTTCCTTGAATGGGCAAAAGATACAAAAATACCGGACGAAACAGTTTGGGCAACATTGCAACGAATGTATCCACGAGTACCCGGTAGTACACCACCTGATAAAAAATATGACACTTACAGTGGGAATACCCTCTCTAGAACACAACAATGGCAAGGTCCCTCAACGATATGCGGCGGAAAATTTCTACGTAGAATATGTGTTTATGGATGTGCTGATTTGAACGGAATTATTGAGAAGAAACCACTGTTTGCTAATAAATTTGCTACAGATGTCGATATATTTGCAATGAATTGTTTGGCTGAATGGATTCGTAATAGGACAATTGATTAACATCGAATATTTATAACAATTAAAACCTAATTAATATAGTTTATCAATGTTTAGCATAGCAGCGTAATTTTTGCGAGAGTGGTAAAAAAAATTACATTGTGAATATGTGAGACTTGTAGTATAACTGCCTAGCGACCAAGCATGATTAATCACCACGACCGGATTTGAAACTCGAAAGACAGTTCATTATAATTATATTTAGCGAATCATAACTGAAATTTTTTAGCCTTATCAAGTACCATGTTACATCACCAATATAACATCAACTCTAATATTCGTAGAAGTATTGCCAAGACTGTCCTCCTTGAATAAATTATAATATATATTGTATAAATAAGAATATAGCCATCGCCATTAAAATTCGCCAATAACGATTTTTTATTTGGCATTAGACGAGACTATATATATATGTGAAATTCTTTGACCTACGTTTACGCTCATTCCCAATCATGTCATATTAAAGGAAGTCATATAATTATATTTTCACAAAATTAAAACTCACGATTCACCCATTTATATTTATAGAAAAGGTTTTTAATCTTTTGTCATCTTTTGTCAGCTAGCTTTGGCATTAGACGAGACTATATATATATGTGAAATTCTTTGACCTACGTTTACGCTCATTCCCAATCATGTCATATTAAAGGAAGTCATATAATTATATTTTCACAAAATTAAAACTCACGATTCACCCATTTATATTTATAGAAAAGGTTTTTAATCTTTTGTCAGCTAGAAACAAACAGTAAGTTAGATATTTTCTCCCATCTTAAATCGTTTGATCTACTAAATAATATAAGGTAGAATCCGACCGGCGCTCTGAATATCCGCTGATAATCGAGGCCCCCATCGTGCTAACCGATACCATCCATGCTGAATTGCAAACCTTGACAGCGATCGCCAGGTTACCAAACTGACTGCTCATTTGTGAACAACTTATCTCGTCGGTATATTTGCATGACTGGTAGTATACTGTGCACATTATTAGCCATGGCTAATAACTAAAACCTGTATATATATGTATATATGCCTCTATTACGGTAGTTAAACGGACCTGCCATAATTGCAGTACGTAAGCGTACGTCGTTCCTGTGTCCGTATCATTGTTTTTAACTACGAGGAAAAAGAGACAACAAAATCCTCTCAATAACAGACATAACATTTTTGTCAGCTTGATTCGTCCACCTAATTCAGACCACCAAATGTTTTAGCCTATTTCGCCACTTAGCCGGAGCCCTCTTACATGTCGCTCTCGATGTCTACATAAATGATGCTGCTTTTGAAAATAATTTTTCAGTGCATAACAGACACTATGCACTTCACTGTGTTTGATGTTGAAAATAACTTCACATGTCAAAAAATACTCAACGCAACGTGAAGGTAGACAGATCGAACGGAATTGATCCGAAAGTGTTATATATTTGAAACTGAGAAATACACAGAGCATATCACAAGTGTTCACTGATTCCAACGCTATATCGCGACATATGGATAAAACAGATGCTAAGTAGTGAGTGTCAAGATTTCAAAGACAAAATTATGAAATTTCAATAATATTGATGAACATTGCGCAAAATATATTTCAAAATCCCGCTTATCTGATATGACTAGTTATTATTAAGCGTATCATTGTTTTAAATACGTGCACGGAGAGCGCTAAAGCCGTTGACAACTACGAAGAAAAAGAGGCAACACAATCATATTGAGAAACAATACACAAAATTTATTTCAAACGTATTGCCAATCTGATCGCTAAAGTGTGAAATATTATTTTAAATAAAAAGGGAGTGTGGTATACAATAGAAAAATAAAATATGCAAATGCTAATAACATTGAAAAACAATGAAAAAAATATATATATTTGCACAGAATGTAACCGAGGAATGGAAATTGGAAATGCCAATTTCATTGAAAAAATAATCACAAAAAATTTAACTCAAATGTCCACCTATCCGGCCTCTTGAGTTATAAAATAATTGTAAAATAGGAATTCTGGTATGTAAGAACAGAAATTGGATTTCAAATGTTCCTGTATCCGGTCACCCAAATGTGACACGTAATTGAAAAATAAACAACAGCCCCATTGAGAAACATTACTCAAAATAAATCTCAAATGTCTACCTATACGGCCACCTAAGTGTGGCATAAAAAAATTGAAGAGAAAATTCTGAAATTATATTGAGAAACAATACACAAAATATATATCTCAAATGTCTACCTATCCGGTCATTTAAGTGGGGCATACAACAATTAAAATGAAAACTATGAAACCATATCGAGATATATTACCCAAAATACGTATCTCAAATGTCCACCTATCCGGCCACCTGAGTGTGGCATACAAAAATTGGAATGAAAATTCTGATATGCTATGGAGAAACATTACACAAAATATATCTGAAATGTCCACCTATCCGACCACCTAAGTGTTGCATACAATAATTGAAACAGCATTCTGATATCCTAATGAGAAACATTACACAAAATATATCTCAAATGTCAACTTATTCGACCACTTAAGTGTGTTACATATAATCAAAATATACAAAATTTTGAAATGCTAATTATATTGTGATGTTGTGGAAGATTGCTCAAAATGTATCTCAAATGTCCACCTATTCAATAACTGAGAAAGAAGAAATATTATAAAACAAAATTTTTAAACCATATTGAGAAACAATACAAAAAATAGATATTAAATCAACCCCTCTTTACTCAAGTGCGTAAATGTGTAATGTATCATTCCAAAATGATATTTTGGAATGTCAATAATAGTACAAAAATGTCAGCCATCCGACTATTTCAGAGGATATGTAATAAAAACACGAAATTCTGGAAAAATATAGAAAACATTACACACAACATATCTCAAAAGTTCCATTATGTGACGACTTCAGTGAAGCCTCAAAATGCAGAACGAAATTCTGCTATGTCAATTACAATTAGAACATTACACCTATTATGACTTAAATGTCTAACTATCAGGGTGCTAAAAGTATTCCAGTTGTTATTATATAGTCAACTATACAGTAGACCGACATGAAATTATTGAAACCCCAATATCAATTCAAATCTTTGCGCGATTTATATAAAATATTTGCACCTACTCGGAATACAAAAAATGATTGTTATTTTGGATTTATAATTAATCAGTAAAAATGTATGCCAATTATGTATACGAATGCGGATATATCCACTAGCTTAAGAGAGTTGTTGAAAATGTAATGCTGAGACATTTGCTGACCAAAGTGTTACATAAAAGAATTATGGTCGATCAGCGACTTATGCTGCTTTAATATTTTCATGTTATACTCATAGATTCCTCTTTTCCAATCCACCTAATGCCGGAATTATGATCCGCTGAGAGAAAAAAATCGCCGCTTCGGTTATTTGCTAATTCAAGGCCGTACAATACGAATTTAAACTTTTTTTTTATCTTACCCCCCATTTGGGAGAAAAAATTTTGTTACGAAATCGATACACTGGTCCACGTGATGAATTTATTGTGTCAATACTTACACGCATTGCGACTGAAACAAATGAAAATATAACAAATTCAATTTAAAATAAACGAAACCGGACGGCAGAAAATGTTTAGTAGACCGTACTGTTTGTCATAAATATACGCCATGGTACCACGAGAAGCAATTTTTGGCTTTGTTCCAGCATAAATATACTCCGCATTTGGTGCATCTGATTACCGGCTTGCTATCACCCCCAGGGACACGACATCGCTGTCTCTTAGCTTCTACCACAGGCCAATGGCCAGTGGCGTCGGTTCTAACCTCGTTTAAGTGGAGTCGATGTTTTCCCAAGCTTTCAAAGAAATTCTGCCACAAAACTTCGAAACGATAAAAGATCTCGCTGCTTGTTACTCGCAACTCCCAGGGACTCACAATCTCTTCTATATAGGATCAAGCTGTTTACAATAGCCAAATCAACCAGGTGGAAGAAGATCCTCAGGTAGTACTTTTTTAACCGAATGCGTATACTATAGTGGGCTATAAGCGTATCTAACAAGTCTACGCCTCCCATGCTGAGGTTATAAAAATCTACCATAAAAGGACGAGTCACCATTATGTGATGTTCCGTGACGTTGTCCCATCTTCGGACTTCTGATGTGGGCATGGCGCTGGCCAATGGACTGGCAATAGTTACACTTCGTTTATCATGCCACTTCACAACTCTTATTTCAGTGTCCTCAACACATCACGTCTTTTTCTGACAACATCCCCGTCCTCTTTTTTTTCAAATCTATGTCAGATTCCAGCTCGCATTCTAATAACCGATTTTGTCTCGCCGTCCCTAAACAATAGATCTTCCTTTTGGCGAGAACGGACATCAAAGGTATGGACGTAAACCAATTGTCAAAACAGAGTATGTGATTTACATCATTCTCTACATTATCAGTCAGTTTGATGACTATGTTAGCACTAGCTCCGAGATCAGGTTAACTAGACACAGGATGTAATTTTCCTGTATATATTTCAGAGTTGTGTACCAAACCATCTGTTCCACACAACATAAAGATTTTATACCCCTAATGTCTCGACAAAATGGTAATCATAAATTTGAATCCTACGTTTGGCAATTGGCAAAATCATAGATGCCATACAGATTTGCACATGCAGTGCGTTGCGCAGCTGGAGACAAAATAATAGAGCGAGCGTACCGTCATCGATTTACTTAGGCTTAGAGTTATACATTGGGTAAATGAATTCGATAGTTAGCAACCCTACAAGCCCTATATAAATTCACTGTATTTTGGCCCGAAAAATAAATTGCTTCCAGCAAAAGAACAAGCTAATATTATACTCATTTTATCGATGTAAATCTGACAAAACATGGAATACACGTATAAAATGTTACACAGGGAGTTCGACATTTTAAAAAAAAATTGTTGTAATTATAAGCCTTGCACAATAGTTGTAATATGGATTCAGTCTTGTCCAGTTACCGATGGTGAGGAGGTCATTTCTAGCATAAATACATATTTTATTCAAAGCTACTTCAGATACCCAAGTGATTGTTATAAAAACAGGAGGACTCGAAACCTACCCTTCACTTATAGCCAATGGCGTCACATCACAAGAGTGGGATGCATTATATCCTGGTTTCCAGTTTGCAAGTAAGTGATACATTTTCAATTTATACCCCCTGGGTGATTCGATGGTCATGGAGGTTGAACCCCAGATATGTTGCCTGCTTTACATGGCCAATTTTAATGCTATAACAACCAGGTATTGTGTTGCAAGCGCAACAATTATGAAATAAATTAAAGAGATGCACAAATATGGAAACCAAGATAGAATATACCCAGACTGTGGTGCAGTGCACCCTTCGTTGGTTGAGGGCGTCTTTATTAGAGTATATCTTTAATGAAAAACTCATCTCCCCGAAAAACAAAGATATTAGGCGCGGCGCCCGGCTCTAGAAATATGCTTGTCATCGTGATACTGCAGATCAAAAACAACGCCTGGAATACTCTCTATCTCTAACACGACTATTGTACTATATGCAATTTTATTCATTTCAGTTGAACGAAATTATTGGAGTTTTTCAATAAAATTGTTCTGCAATTAATTACCTAAAATCAAATCAGTAAGCGATTGGTATTGACAATAAAAAATTCAAATAGCATTAAGATAGACACATAAAATCTCATAAATAATACTAATTACATCATTTCATCTTACACTTGATCATAAAATAATAGGTAGTTATCAATTCGTCTAACAAGTCGACATATATGAAACAATTATTGAAAGAGTTTTACTAAAACCCATAAGATGGAAAAACTTTCTTACAAGTACTATAAATATAGAATTGATAAAACCTACAAGCATATAAGACTTTATTGCCCTGATTAGTAAAAATTACCACTGGCACATGAACAGAGATCAGCATCTGCTATTCAGGCGATTAATTATGTTACTCATTACTCTTAAAAAAATTTAATATATTTAAGGTGATTGTTCATGATAATGAGTGAAAAGAATTTTTTGAGATAACTTGTTTTTACTGCTGTTTTGACTTTGAACTTCTCTTCTTCATTTTTTGTGTAACCACGGAAAGTGTTGTGAAAAAGTTTCCACAGAACATTACGAAAAACAAGAATGCTATAGCTGGTACCTGAAAATAGAATTTATACAAATCTATCAATTTAATCTTTAACCCATGCAGTATTTAACAACAAAAAAATAAGGTAAAATAAGTTACATACCTGCCAATCTATGAACTTGTATTTGAGGGATAAAACAGTCAAATAATAAGCATTGTAAAGCTGCCAAAACTGAAAAAAATAGCTTATGGTAACAAATACAATAAGGATCATATTATGATCGTTTACAGAGTACATGTGTAGTAGTAGAAAATAATATGGCAGAAAATTAGTATCAAATGTTTTCAAGCACTAATACAAAGTCATGCTGAAATTATACCTTTGATGGTCGATTTGTTAAATTAAACAATTTTACAAATAAACGTCCAATGAAAGTTATATTGGAATATGAAACTTCTCTATAAGGACATCGTAATTTTTCACACAACAAACTATTGGAACATTTCCTACATTTTATATAACCAATCAATCTACAGACGGGCGATGTTAACTGATAAATCAGTTGAAAAAGTGTAATGTAATTTATAGTATTATCATCAGTAAATAAAAACTTACATGACCGAAGAATAAAAATGGCAGAAGAAAAGTTAGGCCTCTCCACATCCATGAATGAAAGCCCTCTGAAAGGATATTGAGGAAATAATAAGCATTAAAGTTTAATATTATGGAACATATGATGTTAACTTCGGCACTTAACTATATTATACATACACACAATCCCCTAAAAGTAATTTAATATAAAATTAGACAAAAACATATGCAATGTGAAGGACTGAAAATTTCATCCGAAATGCTTCCAGTTAATCACACAATATTGGTCGGTTAACTATCAATATTGTAAATTTGCAGTGTTTGCATCACTTTCCGAAGATATTAATATACCTTTTAACCAGGTACCAAATGTACAATCAGTGGTAATGAAATTCTGGTTACTTGAGTGATATTCTGTTTATGAGTGTTATTCTGATCGTAAACATGCTCTTTCATTATCAGACGTGTTGAAAGTGTTCGAGTTTATTTCCATTTTAACGGTTTTCACTAGTGATATAGTTTTCTGAGTTGAAAGCCACAAAAGGTAAATTTGTGAGGAAAAAGTCATTTCTTCCCAAAGATATTTGATGGAGAGCACATATATCATATCAAATAAATATCCATGATTAGCAGAACAATTTTCGAATTATTTTCAAAGTAAACACATGTGCAGTAGCAAGAAATACTGACCCACAGTTATGTCCATGTCAGGTCGCAAACCTAGTGCTCTCAATCGATATAAACAACCAGTTTGGTAGTAATATTGTAGTAGCTAAAAAAAGCAAAAATATAACGAGAGAATAACATTGTATTACAAAATATCACTGCGTTGGAATTGTAATTTTAACAGGCAGCTTGAAAGTCTAGTTACAGAGAACAGAAACATATCAGACTTCACAGAGTAATAATAAGATAATTGTTTTATTCGTATAAGTATAGCATACCTGAATAAAACTTTGATAAATTGAAAAAGCCATGAATCTGCTTCTGAATTCTTGATAAGATTGCCCCTCAGGCCTGTAGAGAAAAATGAATTTTAAACTTTGCTGGAATACATCATTCTTCGAGAGCAGTCATTTATTCTTTAGATTAGACTAATTAGGTGTCTAATCATGTCTGACTGAGACATAAAGTGACTGTGAAATAAGCATTCAAAAAGCACAATAACGAAAGGAAATGTTGTCATCAACTTACCATATAACAAATATTCCTGATAAGAACACCGCAACGTAATGATGCATCACCCACCAACCTTTAATTCTAAAAAGATGAATCATATAAATATTAAAATTGATTTGTTCACACTCTACAAAATATATTCAAACAGGTTGCTTCGTAATATTTTCTCTATATAATTTTCTATCCTAATATTAAATTATTAATATTCCAAGCACAATATCTATCTACCTACCCCATACTGATTACATGAACAGAGACTCACCGGTATTTAAGTTAAAAATGTCAAGCACATAAAAATTAGGTGAGGACAAACAATGGAAATTACCTTGATCCATTAGCAATTAAAATACTCTCTCTGACGGTGAGTGTGCAGTAATACCAGAGCAAAAAGAAACTGAGTGCTGCATCAGATATTCGGTTATGAAGAATAAAGAAGTTGAGAACAGATGAGATAAGTGTCATAATGGTACAATATAATTTAAACTTTTCATATTCGTCTTTGTAGCGATACCTGTTGAGTAATACAATAATCGTTAATGATAGATTTACAGTAGCATGTTGAGTTATGGCATCACCTATAACAGTGGTTCTTAGACTTTTTCGAGCGCGACCCAAATCTGAGTTTTATGAATACTCGCGACCCAATCCTAAATAACGCAAAATGTGTTTTTAATGTTAGTACAGTTTGACTCAAATACAGACAACTATTTATTAGAAACAGTCCATTGACTCAGTGAGATTGATGAAACTGAAATTTCCTTTTCATTATATCTTCAATACACAGCTCTATTTTACATAACGCAATACGCAAGTTGTTACGGGTATCGAGGCAATTGCGAGCTTAGTTTTGATAACCGTCAGTGCCAAATATCCTCGCTCGCACAAGTGCCTTGTCGCGAATTGTAGCAGAAAAGGCGTCCGCTGTCCGTCGCAAACACGACATCCTAGCTGGCCTTCGGTATCTCTCGCAATATACAACTTTTTACTCATCAAATGTGCACACACTGCTTCGTTCGCGGTAAATGGTTCCTCGAGATGAAGTCACATTTTCTCTAGATATTGAATAATCTAATGTCGAGAAGCGAGCTTTTTCATTGCGTCGTCTATTACAATTTACAATACCAAAAAGACACGCATTTTTGGTTATTTTAATCCACTAAGACGACATTCCACGCGGTCAACACAACGTTGCATGGTTACCGATACCATAAAAATAATACACGTGACTGGCATATCAGAATTGTGATGTAACAATGAGCTCAAGACAGTTCTTTCCGTGAATGAAATTTTATATTCCATTATTTTTAAATACCAGAGTTTAGAAGCTAAATTGAAACATTGGGAAATCTGAAAATTCGTCCGTCTCCTCTTAGATTGCCCTTGCATTGACGACCTTGTCGCGACCCATTTTTAAACCTTCCGCGACCCATGTTTGGGTCGCGACCCATGCTTTAAGAACCACTGACCTATAAGTACTGAGGCAGAAGAAATATACTTTCTGTGATTTATTTGCACCGTAATCTAGTTAATGTAACGAAAAATGAAAATTATGTTATTCAAAGATATCTCATTCCAATACCTGAATTAATCATGATTATATTTAACAGTAATTAATTGTAATTTGTAATAATCAAGAATTTTATCTATTCGCAAATAAAAGAATTCCAGTAGTATCGCAGAAAACTATCTGTTCCCATCCGTCAATAAAACAATGGTCTCTCAGTAGCTTCGAATATACACAAACACAAGCTTACTATAATAGGAAATCACACACAGATACAAAACAAATTGTTGATTACTGTTCAAGCACTATTGGGGTTCCACTAAAAAGCAATAAGAAAACTCATAAGTGTTTCTTTAAAAAATGATCATAACTTACTTTTCAGCTTCATTATCAAAGGTTAAATTGACTTGTCCGACAATGAGGCTGAGATAAAACCTAAAAAATATGATGTGTAAAATACTGTAATCCAACCTAAGATAAGATAACCCAGTCAGCCTCAGGCAAACAAACTTTTAATTAAAACATTTTATTAAAAATGTTTGAGAATTTGGGGTAATCATATATTGATAAGCCTATTTGATATGAATAATTTGGTCAACACCTCAAGTTTTTAATTAAAGCAATCATGAATATATTGAAAGTCAGGTAGTGAAATGATTATGAGTAAGTCTAAAGGCAATTTCCTGAATATCAAACCACACATTTCAACTGCTGTAATTATAAAATAATGCCAAGTTCTTTTACTAGGTATTCGATCACAAGTTATCAGGCATGACCTGGTACTGACTGATAAATGTCAAAGTCCAAAGTTCAGAAGTGACTTCAATTTTTAACAAGTAAATTATGTTCTTCAAACAAAGCATATAATTAATAGCAATCATGCCAAGTTAAAATACAGCCACCATTACAGTACTCTGCTGTATAAGTAACTCAACAAATATTTGAATACTGGTGAAATTCAGAAACAATGATTCATTTAATAGTTAGTTCATTCAAAACGCATGATATAGAAAATTACTGGTTATATTAATGTTATGAATAAGGGCAAAATTTCATACTGACAATATTCCACTCATGGTGAACCATTACCACGTTTAAGTAACAATTATACGATTACGGTAAATCACAAGGTATGTCTTATATTAATCAACTAACTGTTCCATATTTCAGAAAGGAACTAAACAATGCAATGAGATTGTTGTTCTTCTTAAATCGCTACCATAACTATGCCTCTGGTGGGTTACCTCATTCAAATGCATTTTTTTTGTTATATAATAATATTTCATGTTTTTTGCTCTGAACAGGAAAGTCTGTACAAGAAACCACTAGTATGTGAGGACTTGAGGAGATCCCATTTTTGAAGGTTCTCCCTCAACCAGGATATGCAAATAGCTACTCCAATTTGGAAGGCTGCAATCTTTCCGGTTCTGCATTGCCTAACTAATTTATTACATTGGGAATGCGGTTATTAACAAGGGATTTGAACCCGCCTGCAATGCAAACACATCTGAGTATAGCGATCATGTCTACAAGTTGCTTATAAAAATATTGAAATAAAGGAATTTAGTGAATAATGGAATCTATAATTATAATAGAGTACTGGTAGTCTAAAACAAAAAACCATAATGTACATATTATTTCCAACATAATGAGAATATAAAGTAAAATTACCCATTCTTTTTTGGCAGATAATTTAGTACTTTATCTAGAGCCTCCTTTCTTCGATTTATCTTGGATGATAATTCTGACCTTTCTGTTTCATCAGCTTCACATCTATAAGGTAGACATCATTCATATTGTAACATATCAATAATAAATAAAGTATAATTGTATATTTGGAAATATAGACAAACAAAAATATCAAATAGCAAGGTTTATTTATTTTCTATCCTGATGAGATGAAATTCTTTCATACATAACACACTTTAATAAACTTAAATCAATATTTACTTTTTCTTCATATTGCATGCTGTTTGTCAAATATATTTAAATTTAGTATGAAGGTAAAAAATGAAAAACTAAAATATCTTGTCTTTTTTATATAAAATAGCATTATCCATAAGCATACTTTTTGACAGCACCGGAAAGAACTTTCAACTTTTTTTGTTGTCTTCGAATCTGGCTCGTGCAGCTATTCCTTTGGCCAAAATATGACTCAGCAGTTTTGCGATATTCAAAATGTTTGCTCTGAAATAAAAAAGATTGTCAAATAACATGAACATGATTGACATATCATTTAGTCGTTCAACTGCTTATGGCACAACTTGCTATTCTGTATCCAAAAACAATGTCATAATAGATAATACAGTATTCATTTTGATTATATCAGAGGGAATTACCAATGCATTAGATCTCCATAATGCCATACCTCAAAATCAGCATATAAGGTCTCCAGTTCTTTCCATTCTTCTTTGCAAGTATCAAACGTTATTCGTTCACCAGTTCTTTGAGCCACTTCCATTTCTTTTTTCTGGTACGGTATTGTGTCGTGTGCTATCACTGTCAGACTGTATCAATACCACCAATGCCTGAATGCAGCAATGACTAATTAGTAGATCCCAAAATCACAACGAATGCACCAACTGTCTACTTGTCCGCAGTGCAGCAGACTGGATGGTCAGGCAACAGTGTAGCACTTTAGTGCGTATGCACAGTAATGGTCAAAAGACTTTGCGCGTAGGGCAAAAATAATGTGACGAAGTCTCTTGGCTAAGACCCATCGAGTTACCATTTCCCAGAAAACTGGCGGGCCGATCGGAACGAAACTTGGCATGTAGTAGGGGGCAGTTACCAAAATAGCAAATAAAATTTTTCAGAACGATCGGGCCAAAGGAAGTGGGCCAAAACGGGCTTTTGGTGGCCCAAATTTAAGGTTGCGTGACATTAATTATTTCAGGCTGTCAATCAAGTATCGCAAGAGTGATTTTGGGGTTTAGAAGCCGTTTAGCTGCGTTTCCGGGGCCAGAAAGCGTTTGCCCGAGTATTGGGATTTTTTCCAAGTGCAATTGGGGGTGGGGGCACTGCCACCGCCCCCCCCAGTGGTGAGAAAACGTGTGGAAAGCCACGCCCACTTAGATAATATGGTTTTTGGGCTATTAGGAGCACTTGGAATTGGTTTTTGGGCAAAGTGATGCTTAAATCTCAAAGGGACTAATATATAGAATATTTCACCACCTGAATCTTGGGAATTCCCCCTCCCAATCGCCCTCCAGTGGCGTAAGAAGGTTGCGCACCTAAAAATTGAGCTATCGAGAAATAAAATAGATAGATATGTTGGGAAAATTTAGTTTAATGCTTTTTTCAAGAAATTTTTTTTCTCTCACTCCCCAGTCATGGTCTAGTGATTTTGGCTTATTGCAGGCCTCTGAAAGGACCTGTTGAGAAAGTAAAGGCATGGGCATGTTTAGAAAAATTATTTGAATCTATTTTGAAAGAAATTTTATTTCTCCATCACCTCAGTCACGCTCCAGTGATTTCATGTTATATCTCGAGAATGGTAGAAGGTAGAGGCGCCATATTCGGGTCATGCAAGGTAGTTGAGGTCTAGTTTATGTCAAAAAAATTTCGTAACGGTTGAGTGATCACGGACCTTAAAATTGGAAAAATTCGACTCCGGTAAGGGGTGATCAGTTTATTACAGGGTATTTGAACTTCTTAATGGACTAGAGTGGTCGGGGGCACAGCGCCGGACGAATTTCCGTCATTCGTCCGGCGCAACGACCCGGGTCCTCCAACAAACTTCAAACAAACATATGCTTCTAAATTTACTACAAATATTTCCATACATTTCCCCTCGCGGGTAGCGCAGCGACCTTACCCTGGATAAAAATATTACCTAAAAAAAGCTGCAAACAAAGTAGATTATTGATTAACTATTCATTTATGAGTTGACATATCATCATATTCTGATATTGCATGTCCACCTGTACTCGGATGAAATGCTTGCAAACATACCGGTAAGGTTACGAAAGCCGTGGACAATTTGATTTATTTTATACCGATAACGAATTGCCTGCCCGTTGCCAACATTAATCACTACGTCCCTGGCGCCCCATCGCCCTAACTTTCCAAGTTACCGGTATAAGCTGCTGAACAACTGACAGAATGATGCAATAACATACGGTAAGATAGAACTTGAATGAACTGAGTAATCACTCCCCACGTAAGCAGTGAACTGCATGGTCTCGACGTGATATAAAGTCTGTACGTTACTGAGAAAATGTGAATAAAAATTTATTTTAGCCTACATAGGATAGAAACATGCGCCCGGCATGACGATCATGCTCATAGGTCACCACACGAGAAATACTTGGGAATCGAAACGTTATCGGCTCCGCCGACTGTTGAAGCGATGTGGGAGATTTAAAACCGCGATAAGCTCGCTCATTCACATCGCATACGTTATTATCAATAACACACAAATCAAAATTATTAAAATTACTTCATTACATTGGTCAACATGGACGCGAATTCGTGGACCAAAATTCGAGTAGAGAAGGCTGAAACAAAAGTATAATAATTCAAGACTAGCATAACATGCATACAATGACAATTTTTAAATATTATATGTGTAAGTTTGAGGTTTTCGCAATTCTTGCTCTCGTGGTAGAAAAATCTTCGAAATATAATGCTATACCGGTGTCCACCAAGCCATACGCACAAAGTAACAAATCTAATAATGAAACATGCTGCAGCGTTCTTGTCGCAGTACTCGACGGGGGAACGTAAACACAGTTGTTACGTGGTTTATTCATGGTTTGACCACAGAGAATGATAACCCTCTATAGCAGTGGTTCTCAAACTTTTTTAGTCCCAGAGCCGCATTTCAGACCTCAAAGTTATGAAGAGCCGCACACAAACAACGCAAGGTAAAATAGCAACAAACCTTAAGCGCGTATTTGAAATACCAAATCATCGTAACAACAACACACGTAACAACTAGGTCTGGGCAAAATATTCGATTGACATTTTACTATTCGAATATCCGGTACCACGTGACCTGCGCCGCTCTGCTCGGACACCGAACTCGCGCGTCTTCAACTCAATCGTGATTTGTGCGAGATTTCCCAACGGCGCTCGCTATCAGAAAAAAGTCGTTGTCTTTGTGTTGTGGCGTTATATGCTTATCTTTGCACTTAACGTATCGTTTCAAATCATTTTTTTGCAAAAAAAAACGTACCGACCGTTCCGTAAATTTATAAACATCAAACTAGATTAGGTATTTAAAATAAATTTCCCAGATTTTAAACTCCGCATGCTTGGTGTCATGTCATTAGCCGTTTCTTGCATTACCGAACATAAAGTTGATTCAAATTAAATGTTAAAATGACTTTTCGGCGTTTCATTGTGAAAAAGGCTATTTTAGGTCGTTAGAAAACTCTAGTTAAGTAAATAGCATGGATTTAAAAATGACCAAAAGATTTTTCAAAAGCTGGTATGAGTTACTTGTATGAAAAATACTCATTAAGTTGTAACCAGATAGGAAATGTCATGTCCTACTATCTTTAAAGCACTTTGTATTAGCTCTTTATTGATCCCTTCCATCCTTGGCCAAGTAATGTTTTGAATATGTAACATTGTAATCGACCATGCATGGCCGTTGAGCCAGGAGTAGAACGTAAAATCAAAGTGAATTTCGTTGCGACAATGCACACTGACTCGTTCACGAATTGTTGCGTCTATTATCATCGAAAATGATTACAATTGGTAAATTTTGAAGCATTGGGTGGTAATAATTAAGCCTTATGGCATGACATAATCAAAATCATTAGGTGAAGTGCTGAATTTGCAAATTCCGTAAAGAAAATTGAGCATTACTCAGTAAGTATTTTAGCTATAATAACCATCGGGGTGTTGTTTTGCTGAAAAAAAAAATGTTAAAACTTGAAGGAATTAGTTATAATTAGCGTCTGGCCCTCTATTAGGCACGAAGGCTTAGAAATGCCTTTATTGCCAATTTATTTAATCGCTATTTTAAATCAACACTCAGGATTCACGCAATCGTAAATTTGCTTGGTTTATCTATCTAATACCAAAATAACACCCCATAGAAAAGCATGAAAAACTCAATTATCATTTTAATAAATAACTGCATCTCGGTTACCTTTCACTTTAAACAGGCACGATTAATTTACAAGCGGTGATAAGGAAGATCAAATCCAAGGCAGAGGATAAAACTCAGAATAAAATTAATTTGGTTTTGAAATCAGCCCTTAATGTATTCAACAGCTGTCGCTGATGTGAACGCAAAGGGATATTAGAAATATGAAACTTCGAAATTCGCCGACTGCTTATTCTTGCAAAAAACGAGAAAGGGCGGGAATATAAAATACCAACTTTAGGATATCGCCGCCAAAACGATCGTAGTGACAATCTGCGAATATGATATAATTAACCATTAACCAGTAAAAAAAACGCTTTTTTGTGGACTTTTCAATGATTCTATCAATTTCTAAATGGTGTATCGAATCGACCTCCGACGTTCTGGATCCTTGTTATGTATAAAAAATATTCAAACTATTCGATTCGAAAAAAGATTCGATTTTGCCCGCCCTAGACTAACAGCCATTTTATTCAGCTTTGATTTCTAATAAGTTTGTCAAAGCGGGTCGTAATCGTGAAGGATGCAAAGTGCAGTAGCTGCTTGAGATGATCGCCAGATATTCCGGGACTATTTTCGATTACTGGAACAAAATTAAAATGCTCTAGAATTAAATGAAATCATTGAGTTATTTGATTTATGCATAATATCCGGGAATGCGACAAACACTGAAAATCCACGGAAGCAAGCCAATGATTACAGCCATGTCTAAAATCTTTCCAAGTGCAAAGTGTCCGAGTGGCCGTGAAAACGCTCACTCACTGTTGCGTCACTATTGCATCTTGTAGGTTAGTCAACGCTACGCAAATAAACATGGGGAATCCATTCGACTAATAGACCTCAGCATTTTAATTTCGAGTCAATGATTAGTTTTCAATGAACATTTTTTTTTTAAAAATAATTAATTTTCAAAGCATTAACGAGAGCCGCAGGAAAGGTTGCTGAGAGCCGCATGCGGCTCTCAAAATCTAGTTTGAGAATCACTGCTCTATAGTTTGACGTTCTTTTAACATCACATTTGCAGATCACTGTGAAGCTAGTAGCAAACCTTCTTCTAATTTTGTGCAGCGGTGCGTTTAATCTCGTTTTTGTGCTCATTGAAGGGTGATATCATAGGTAACTTAATATAGTTCGCTCACGCTTTTTTCGTCTTCGTTTATTTATGTTAGACAGTTCACTCGTTACGCTTGATTGAAGCGTCATGGTATTCTCTTAACGCGATATTATGGCGCTTGTAGTCCTCAGCTATCTGGCTGTAGCCGATGTCTAAAGAGGATGTCGGTTATCGGACAGGTATGATATCGTTATATATTGTTTGAATGTCTTGTGCCTTTGACAGAAAACGATTGCTTCAGAGAGCAAAACTCATAAAATAACATCTTGAGACTAATTCATTTCTGTTACCAAATTTTAATTTCCAGTTATCATCTCAACTTTTTTGATTTATAGTGACTAAAATAAAACCCGACACTCGACCAGGCGTGTGTCACGCTTGGGTGATAGGAACGA